AAGATATATATATATATACACACACACAGACACACACACAGACACACACACACACACACATATATAATATATTTTACGCGCCCCATCAACATAATAATCTAAATCATTTAGGATGGGGCCTTCTGACCCCACCTGTCACGGACAACCCGGGCAGAGAAGAATACGTCACAGCAAAAGACCGAGGTACTAAATATTTTCTCCCTGTTCGGAAATCGAACTCAGGTCTTCTGCAACAGCGAAGCGCCTACCGCTACATCAAAGACTCTGGTCCGAGGGTACGCACCAAAGTGGTGAACGTTTCCAAACAGTTCATGAGGCTTTAACAACCCCTTTCCACCACCACCCCCCTCCCCAAAACCTCCTCCACCAACACCCCTTATTAATATAGTACAAAGACACAAACAAACAGGGAAAAAAATAAAACTGTACCTTGAAAAGATGCAATTAAAATCTCACTTCATACACTCTCCTTAAAGTACAATCTCTATTAAAAATATACTTTAAAAACAATTAGTTTAAGTAAGAGTTTTGCGATATTTGCAACACAATAAGGCGATTTACAATAGAGTAACAAACACAAAAAAGGAGGGGAGATAAGGACGATAGAATTTGAATAGGACATAAGGAGGAAACCACACCAGAGTACCCGCCAACCACCCTTAAAATACTTAGTTATTGATGTCAAGCTAATCTGTTGTTAAAAGCAACCTACCTGAACCACTTCAAGATGAAAATGACAAGAATGAGTTGAAGGGAAACCGACGCTCGTCACTGCAGGTATTCGCTCTTCGACGTGTGGAGATCAGATTTCGTGAAAGTCCGCCACTAGTTATTTTGAACACAGAGTTTTTGGAATCTGAAACAACAGGAACAAATGAAGTGATTATTTTAATAATGTTGATTTGAACTCCTTTCGTCCCTTTAAATAGCAAATGTTTACTTTCTTTAAATTTCAATTCGGTTAATTAAATCCTCGACGGTCTACGTTATTTTACTCTAGAGCTCTCAACGAATTGAACAGTGCACTAAAACACAAGATTGTGGACAAGACAATAATTCGATTCTTAACCTATTAAATAAAGAATCATTGAACACTGAGACACGTTTGTTTTAACAAAATATATAATGGAAATATGGAGACTTCTGAGAACAAACCAAAATATATCATATCCGTGACTTTGTACCATTTCTAGAGCGATTTTGCGTTGAAATTATGAAAAACCGTTTTTTTGGCTACTTTGATATTTGAGACGAACTATAATATTCTTTTCAAAACGTACATATGTCCGTCTTGCTTAATCTGCATTAAATAAACCTTCAAATTGTCATGCTAACAACAGCAAGCTTTAGAGGGAGAACTGTCAAGAATGATTTTTAGTCAAGAATTTCCCATTGCAACGTGAATATTTTGAGTAAAGAAAAGCGAGACTAGATACACAGCAAAATTGAAATAATCCCGGTGTAGATGAGTTTTGTTAACAACATACTCTATGGTCAGTTTCCGGTGGTGTTACTCTCTTGACCGGTGTCTACTTCATCATGCTACACACATCTGTTTCTCCAACTCTGTTGTATTGTCCAGTATTCAGGGCTCGTTACCAGCAGGTTATTGAGAAGCAAGAGTCACCGCCATCCAGAAAAGAATTATTAACAAGACAGAAAAGACAGACTAACAAGAGGGGTTTTGGAGTAATCAGTTCTAGAACTAAACAACAGGACACGACGTGGAAAACTTTTCCTCTCTCTATTTCTCTCTCCGCTCTTCCCATCGATTCCTCCGCTCCATGTTTTATAGAGCACCCCGTGGAGGGGGCGTCACCTCGAGCTTAGTCACGTGGGTACACGCCTCCATGGGCGAGCAGCGCTACCGTGGTCGCTCTTTCTCATGACAAGGTGCGTGAGTCGGAGGCGGAGGTCGAGAAAGAGGAGGAAGAAGAGGAGGAAGAGGCGAAAGAGCAGCAGGAAGTTGGAACAGGAC